TTCTCTCGCTTTTTCATTTTGTTAATTTCTTTCCTTCTCCCCCAGGTAGTAAGTAAACATTAGTATTGTGTGTAGATTTTTACCCTCTCGTTCAAAGACAAAATTATTATTTAGTATAACTAAAATATTGTTTGTGTTCGGTTTTGGTCTAGATTTTCAAATTTAAAAGGAAAATCTAACTACATCTTACACAATACAATTCATAGGTGTTTTTTCTTGAAAAGAAAGCAGAAGTGTATAATTCTCCTCATAGTTATTAGAAAGTTATCGTCTTATCACTTTAAATATCTCAGCAGAGGTAGAACAGGCCCAGTGTCTGAAGTACAGAGTTCAAGTGCACTCTCTACGCTTTAACGGATCTCAGAATCTCGTGGCCACACCTCACCCTCCCAGCCTCCACCCCACAATCCTGATGTTGTATCTCTTCTGCCCCACAGAAAGAAGCAGAACTCGAGAGGTAGGTAAGATCTGGACTAGATTCTGACTGGTGGGGGCTGTAGAGATGACACAAGTCATTTATGTGTGTGCTGAAGAAAATCCACCAAGCAGAGAGAGCAAGCAGGGGTGCCCACATGTGTGCAGGCTGCCTGGAATACAGAGCTGCAGGACCATCTGACCTGGCTTTCCTGGGCCTCTTTCCTCCCTCCCTCTGATGGCTCTCTCTCTCTTTCTCTCTCTCTCTCTCTCTCTCTCCACACATCACACTCACCCACACACCACACATTGATTAAACCAGCAGCCAGAGGTCAGAAGAACTGGCCCTGTGGACTGTACAGGCCACAGCATCTGGGTCACAGAGCAAGTTAGACCATAGTGCAATAGGATAAAGAAAAAAGAACACAAGTCTACAAGTCTACCACCTAGAGGAAGTGCTTGGGCAGAATTCCTCGAGGGCACTTTAGGCTGTGCCTCTTGCTTGTGGCTGGGAGCACAGCAGTTTCTTTTTAAAGCAAAGTTAACCACAGTGTACTTGGAAGCCCCAGACAAAAGCTATTTAAAGGCTGAGGATGCAGCTCGTGGAAAGGCTCGCTAGCAGCAGAAGCCCTGGGTTTCTTCCCGGCACAAACAGACAGAGCCATGTAAGAATGACAAAATGGCAGATGATAATTGTGCCCAAATGCCTCAGTGATTGTTTTAGTACAGTGAAGTGCACACACACTCCGAAGAACCCAAGTCGCTCAAAGGCAGGGAGTTTTGTTTTTGCTTTTAGGAAGAAATGTGTTCCTTGAATTTCAAGAAATTCAAATGAGCTTGGTTTTTATGCTTTACTTTGGTAGAAAAAAAAAATTAAGATTTTTGTTGTTGTTTCCTGAAAGCTGTTTGTACGTCAGGTTGGTTTCCAACTCAGAGATTCCCCTGATTCTGCCTCCCGGGGGCTAGGATAAGAAGATGTGTACAATCACACCTGTCTCAAATTACTTTTTAAAACTGTCACGTCCTGGATCCAAAATCAGCAACTGCAAAGGCGCCCACCCCGAGTCTAGGTGTCACTCTTTGACCTCCCTCCTCGCCAGGAAGCTGAGCTGCATCTCAGAATCCCGCTGAGGGTGGTAATAGCGAACACACCCACACCGAGAGCTGTTTCCTCCTGTCCACATTTGTCCGTCACTAGTTTGCCCAACACCCCACAGTAGTTTAAGCAGCAACAGTCATAGTTTGTGATCACCCTCAACTGCAGAGGGAAAGAACTGGTTGGTCCAAGAAATGGGTTTCTTGGTTTCATTTATGTATTGGAGCTCTAGAACAGCGAAGCGGCAAGCTTACGGTTGTGGAATTTTCCGATGAAGCAATCTCACGGAACGTTTGAATTGGAGTCTATGTGCCTATTCGGAAGACCTTCATATGGAGACCCTGCAGACTCAGTCTTACGGCTTACTACTTCAGTAACCACGGCATGTCTCCTTCGAGTCCCTACACACCTGTTGCCTTCACGATGAAGGGATAGACTAATCCACACCCAACCTCCCCTCTTCAGAACAACATACAAGCCAGAAGCGATGGTCACGTCTGCCCTCTCAGCCACTGGGAGGCTAAGGAGAGCTACCATGCATTGGAGACCATCGCTGGTGACGGAGTGAGACCCTGACAATGACCCACGTGAAGTGGCAAAGGACGAGTCTGAAGCCACCCAAGTTGCTGTCGGGTTTTTTTTAGATTATTTTCCCTTCTTGGTGATATTGGTAAATTGATCTTGCAGTGGGTGAGAATGTGTTTTAGTAGAGGCCCCTGTGCTTCAGGTCCCAAGGGCCACCACTTAGAAAGTCACTAGATGACTCATAAAACAGCGTCAAGTACACTCATTGCAATCAGGTCTCGACGATGGATGTGCAGCCAGCTTGAAGGCTTTCCCCAGGACCTGTAGGCTTCCTCATGTTCTCCTTCCCACTATGGCCACTCTTCACCAGCCAGGAAAATGGAACAAACTGTGATCCGTTTGCACACTGACACCAACTAGATATTCATTATCTGGTCTTCATCTTTGGGGTTTGCCCACGTATGGACTCCATATACCAGCACTTCACACTCCCAGAAGAAAGTCAGACGCTCAAGAGTTGAGGTGCCGTGACCCACCACAATTTAGGGATAGTAGGGAAATGCCACTAGCCAAGTTCTCTGGCTCTAGAGGGCAGGCTTCGCTAGGATGGCAGTCTCGAGCCTGCTTAGGCGACCCTGCTTACACAGTCACCATCAAACTTACTTAGAACACTGTGAGTGTTATCAATCTGTACATCGGTGAAAGTGTGCGTAGTTATTCGTCTGCGATGGCCTGTGCTCCAGCTGCTCTGACTCTTGCCCTCCAGAAGTTCTGCTTCCTGAGTTAACTGGGTTGAAGATGGGAGGGAGCCTGTGTCCCCTCCCTCTGCCCGATGCTTCCCCTCGCTCCCGTCATCTTCTGTTCTCTCTCCAACCCTCGTGCCTGTCCTCATTGCTCATTTGCTTGGCTGCAGTCTTATCGTGGATGCTTGTTGGCTGTTTTAGTTAGTTCCCTGATCCTATGATAAAATACTAAAGCAACTTAATTGAGAGAGAGTTTGCTCTGGCTCGCAGCCCAAGGGTGCAGTCTATCAAGTCAGGAAGGCATACCAGCAGGAGAGGGGGCCGCTGTGACATCGCATCCAGAGTCAGGAGACAATGGGGGAAGAAGGCGTGTCTCCCTCGCTTGGATCTCATTCGTTCATGGTCCAGCTGAGAAGAGGTGACACCCACAGTTGCTCTTCTCACCTCATTTAACCAAAACTAGGTAATCAATCCCCCATGGGCGTGGTCAGAGGCTGGCCTCCTAGGTCATTCACAAGCCTGTCCCGTGGACAATCAATATTAACATTAACTGGCTCGTGGGCCTACTGGGTTTTCCTTTGTGGTGCTGCACTAGAAGCATCCTTCATTCCCAGAATTCCGTGACTGTTTTCTTCATGTTGTAACCCCGCCACCGCGCCTCCTCTAGGAATGGGACATCTGCGGAGACTCAGTCATTTCCAGGAGTCTGGTGGGGGGCTACTGGGCGTTGCTACCCTGGAACCGTGGGTGTCTGTCAAAGGCCTGACAGACAAGTGATGGGGTAGAAGATTATAGAGGCCATTTTAGAGCCCTGTTCTGGGTATCCAAAGGTTTTAACTTAGTAGGACCTCTGTTAAAGTGCCAGCCATCCTTCGGGGCTAAGGGGAGGATGTGTTGGGGCTGGAGAGGGTGCTCGGTGGATAAGAGCCCTTGCAAAGCACTCAAGTTTGGTTCTCAGCACCCAGCTCATAGCTGCCTGAAACTTCGCCTTCAGAGAACCCAATGGCCTCAGTGACCTCTATGGACACCTGCGTATATGTGGTAGACGTAATCTCTCTCTCTCTCTCTCTCTCTCTCTCTCTCTCTCTCTCTCTCTCNCCCCCCCGTCTCCGTCTCCCTCTCCCCCTTCCCCTCTCCCCCTCCCCTCCCCCTCCCCCTCTCCCTCTCTCTGTGTCTCCGTGTCCATGTATGTGTCCCTTTTTTATGCATGAACACATGCGTACATAAATAAATTTTAAAAGGGCAAGAACCATGCCTAGGATTCTTGCCTCAAGATTCCACTCCCTAACCCCCTCCTGTTGTGTCTGTGGGGTTTCCCTCATACTCGGGGGCATGGGGTGGATGACAGGTGACCTGTGGAGCCAGAGTGAATCCCGAGTCAGCTTCCCCAGACTGGGTAGCCCAACCCTGTCCTTGGCTTTGGAGACAGGCTCTTTGGTGAACTGCAGGGACAGCCTTGGCGGATTTAGTCCAGCTTCTCACCTGGCATTTACTTGGTACTGAGTCTAATCCACGGTAGTAGCTTTTGACTTTCTTCACCATTGTCTTAGATTTCGTGGAATAATGATATCAGCACACTAGGGGACTATTAGCAAAACATCATTTTAACATCAAAGCCCTAAAAATACCAGTTAGGGGCCAGCTGGTGTTGGCACATGCCTTTAATCCCAGTACATGGGAGGCAGAGGCAGGTGGATCTCTGTGAGTTAGAGGCCAGCCTGGTCTATAAGAGCTAGTTCCAAGTCAGGCTCCAAAGCTACAGAGAAACCCTGTCTAGAAAAAAGAAAAGCAAGCAAACAAACAAAAAAATGAAGAGACAAAGAAACAAACAAAATCCCAGTTAGGGAACTTTGGGGGCCATAGAATAATGTACTTAGGCAATCCAGGCAAATGAGAGTCTGCTAGACGGAGGCATGAACACCAACAAGGCCAGGTGGTAGTGTGTCAAGGCTCACAGAGAGCGAGGAGCACCAGGAATTAGAAGCTTCGCTTCTGGGTCCTGACTCTTGGACAGACTGTCCTGTGACCTTGGACAAGGCAGGGCTCTTGCTTTGTTTACAAATAGGGGGATTGGTCTAGAAAGCTCCCAGCACGCCTCCAGTCCCAACATTAGTCAGTCCTTCTGGCCGTGGAGGGGAATTCTTCAGAAAAAGGGATCGGCTGACCTTGATCTGACTGAGCAGCTCTGGCAGCCAAAGGAAAGGAAAGAAGGAACACACACCTCCCCGGCCTGGCCTCAGTGCCAGGGTGCGTTGCTTGGGCCTTGGTCCAACTTCTGCAGCTCATCGCTTTGTCTCTTGGAATCACCCAGAACCAGGCAGCCTGCGCGCGGTGTGACCACCCAGTTTACCAAGCTGTCTGTCACCCAGTTGTCATTTAGTCTCACTGTGTGTCTGTGTGCAGCCGACGGATCAGAAAGTGGGTCTCGGGCTCCCTCTGAAGTGAAGTCTGTTCTTCCTTTTGGGACTGATTCATGGCTTCGCCACAGGAGTCGGACATTGCCTCATGCTGGTGGTAGACATGGGCCTTTTGTGAGGCCAAGTTTAGACAAGAGCCCAAGGCACAAGTGAGTAACTGCTGATGCACTGGGGTGTACTGTGGCTGCTTCTCCAGCTCACAGCCCTGGGGGCCTGGCCCCCAGCCGCCTCTGCTCTCCAGGTGGAGTTGTTTTGTTTTGTTTTTTTCTTTTTCTTATATTCAGATTCTAAATCTACTGCCTGGCAGGCAGAGGTGAGTCAGTGGCCCTGGAAAACAGCAGACTGGCACCCTGCTGTCTCGTGGGTATGAACTTAGATGTGAACCCACTTGGTGCAATGTGATGAAGAGGTAAGATCTGAGCCCTGTCCCTCTGGCAGGCGTAGGGGCAGGTCATTCTCACGACCACAATGTAGGCCGAAGACTGGCCTGTACGATCTTCAGACGTCGTTTTACTCCCAACCATGATGGGAAGGACAGTGAGCATACTTAGCAGATTATGAGACACCTCTGAAACCGGATATTCAGGTTAATACATAATCCCCCACCCAGGGGCGTAAATAATCGAATTAGCCATTAATACACAAAGAGAACAATGACACGCTCTCAGAAATACTTGGTATGCTATATCACACCCCTTTCTAGACAACCCCTCCCGTTCCTCTCTGTAATAAGCTTTAGAAAAAGGTGAGCCTGTGACCAAACTCTTTTATCGTTCATATCATGAAAGAGGGAAAAGGACCACGTCTGGAAGGATCCTTGTTTGTGGCTTTCCCCAACCTCACTGTGAGAACCTCTCGCCACTCTCCACCCTAAAAAAAAAGGTGGACATACAATCCTGTGTTTCCTGCACAAATGCATAGGCTGGCCAGATCGTTTTCCACATTGCCATGGAAATTGCATCTCTCTACCGTAGCCTCAGTCCAAACCCCCAGTGATTAAGAAGCATGTCGACTAGCCACCTCCGACAGATCTGTACAGAGCGGGTGTTCCATGGTCAGTTTGATTCCGGGGAAGTGTGTTGGGTTAACCTTGCTAACATTCTAAAGGGTGATGCCTCTGAGAAGACAGGTCAGAGCTGTCAGGACAAACAGCCTGTGAGTGTTCCATCTATGCTGCTGGTAAATGTTTATTGAACAGCCCTGTGTACCAGGATTCTGCTATACACGGGGGTGTAGAAGTAATATGTCTGCCACAGGAGTTTACATGTAGTGGGGAGACATAAAATAAACAGGTAACCAAACAAGTCGAGCAGAACAGCTGTTCAGATGAAACAGGATGTCGGGCTATATGCATGGGGTTGGGACAATTTCTCTGTCTTCTTTAAAGAAGCTCTGAAGAGCAAAAGGTGGGGGGGGGGGGGAGAGAGAGGAGAGAGAGAGAGAGAGAGAGAGAGAGAGAGAGAGAGAGAGAGAGAGAGAGAGAGAGAGAGAACCAGTACACTGTCCACAAGCAGAAATAAACTTGGCACATTAAAGAAACAGTGACTGGAGAACACAGCAGCGGGGTGGGGGTGGGGGGCTTGAGATTGAAGAGCAGGCTGGGCCGGATCCCACAGGTTACTGTGAGCACACTGGCTGGTTACTGTGGTGCTCTGGGAAGGGGCCAGGTGAAACCCATCTTGGAGGCATCTGGAGAAGAGTGCTTGATAACCAGGCTCTGTTCTTCCTATGTGGAGATGCTCCCATGCCCCTGCCCCCACCTCCAGCATTCCAGGGAAGAAGGGTGGCTTCCTCAGGCACCTGGCCTGCTCAGCTGTCTGGTGTTTGTTTGGACCTTCAGGAGAGGGAGATGTTCTTGACACAGAGTGGCTTCCTGGAGGAAAAAACCACAAGCATGACCAACTTCTCATTAGCCAAGGCTCTTTCAGTTGGGAGTAGCAAACACAAGGCCAGTCAGGCGAAGTTGAAAGGCCATTTGTTGTGATGTGGGATTTATGGTGAATATGTTTTATTACCAATGGTTAATAAATAAGTTGCTTCGGGCCTATGGCAGGACAGAATATAGCAAGGCAGAAAATCCAAACAGAGATAGAGGAGGAAAGAAGGCAGAGTCAGAGAGATGCCACATAGCTGCTGAAGGAGACAGATGCTGGAAAGTCACCCGTAGCCCATAGCATTGTGATGATACATCGATTAATAGAAATGGGTTAACTTAAGGTGCAAGAGTTAGTTAATAAGAAGCCTGAGCTAATAGGGCCAAGCAGTGTTGTAATTAATAGTTTCTGTGTGATTATTCGGGTCTGAGCTGCCGGGAAATGAACGAGTAGTCTCTGCTTACATTGTTGGATGCCAAAGTCAATGCAGGGGTAGATCCTACCTCAAGGAATTGGTGTCAAGACCCTCTCTGGCACTGGACACTCTCCTGTTCTGTATTTGTATTGATTTTTTCTCTCTAGTCCTAGGAGACTCCCCTCCCACATGGAGTCTCTGCCTATGTCTTTGGAAGCCCTGCATTTTGGAATAGTTCCTTGAAATGCTCTCAGTTACCTCCCAAGAGTGCCAGCTGGTCAGGGTACTCCACAAGCCCAGGCCTCAAATGAGCCCTCTCGTCTCTTCACCGCAGAGTATCTTGGTGTCATCACTGCTCTGTGTGCTAAGGTCTACCCAGGGTCACCCAGGGGTCCCCAGGAACTTCAGAGCTCTACTCTGTGATTATCCTGAGACCCTGGGATTTAACCTCAGTTCCTCACCAGGAAGATGACCTCCTATAGGCCAGTGCAGTATTTCTTTCATGGGCCTCATGAGCTCAGAGTGGTATTGGCATGTAACTCAGTGTGTTTTGGTTTGTTTGTTTGTTTGTTTCTCGAGACAGGGCCTCACTGTGCAGCTCTGGCTCTCCTGGAACTCTCTTTGTAGGCCAGGCTGGCCTCAAACTCAAGATCCCCCTGCCTCTGCCTACCAAGTGCTGGGATTAAGGGCTTGTGCTGCCGCTGCCCAGCACCCAGGATATTCTTAACTCCCACCTGTTAGGAAGAGCTTTGAACTGCATTAGCCCCAGGCTGCACTGTCTGGACACCGCACCCAGACACCCAGGCATCTCTTTGCTGCCTGAGTTCTGACTATGGTGAGGCCTGCTCATTGCTGGGCTCTGTTCCAAACTGTGCCTGGTCCTCCAAGGGTTCCAGAGCCTTGTTGCATAAGGATCACGAGCTAGTCCAACTTATAATTGATGCCCTCTCTGGCTCGTTATTGATGTGCTGGCTTTGGGTCCACATTCCAGATGAGTAACACTCCAAATGCCTGTGCTCTGGCCCCTGCCCATCTCCCGCACGTGGATGGGCAACAATCATTGGCATCTTTCTGTTGCGTTTCCATTCGTCTCTCTGCCCTCCTCCACCCTCAGGGTAGACAAGCCTTATAGAGGTGGACCAGTTAGTTCATTTTTAAGGAGGTGCCATTGAAAAAGAAACCGTCTATCTGCCTAGATTGACTTTGAAATAGCTTGGATATTTCATGATTGCTCCTTGATAGTTAGAAGAGGGTTCTTTTGTTTGCTTGTTTGTTTTTCGAGACAGGGTTTCTCTGTAGCTTTGGGGCCTGCCCCAGAACTAGTTCTTGTAAAACCAGGCTGGCCTCGAGCTCACAGAGATCCAACTGCGTCTGTCTCCCAGGTGCTGGGATTAAAAGCGTGCACCACCACTGCTTGGCTTTAGAAGAGGGGTTTTTGCACACACACCTGACAGCTACAGCTGCCCCTCTGAACTCTTAACCTTGCCAAGTGGTCCAGGCATAAGGTTTTTCTTCACTTCTACTCCTCCCTCCTAGCACCTCCTTGTCTCTGAGATGCCCAACAGGAAACCTTCCAGAAAGGCATGGTTGGTAGTGCCTGGCATATACCTTGTCTTGTTTGGTATGATTTTAAATACTTGACATGAAAAAAAAAAGAACTGAAGACTACCTGTAGAATATTTAAAATTTTAAATTTATATTGAAGTAATATTTTAAGTGCATTGGCTTCAATTAAATATATAGTTAGGACTAAATTTCACCCTTTTTTTATTTTGTTATCTGAGTGCTGAGGATGCTAGGGTGGAGTGGGGCTCAGCAGGAGTAATGCCCAGGTCCCGTCCCCAACACCAGAGAGGAGGGGAGGGGAGGGGAGGAAAAAAGGGAGAGGAGGAGGAAGATGAAAGTAAGAGGGGAGAAGAAGGGGGAGGGGAGAGAAGAGGAGGGAAGTATAAGATAGGGGAAGAGGGAGAGAAGGGAAGAGTAATAGGGGAAAGGAGGGGCAGAGAGAGAAAAGAGGAGAGGGGAAGGGTGTGGGAGAGGAGGGGAGGGAGGGGAGGGAGAGGGAGGAGAACCTGCCCTCACACACAGAACTCACTGTGTGGCTCTAGGACACAATGCCGGTCAGATCATCTCTGTGGACGTTCTCTCCTTCATTCCTTCCTCTGTAATTTTCCTAGCTCCAGTCACTGGCCTGGCAGGGTGTGGACATCAATGGCAAAGGCTCCATCTGGCCAGTCTCACCACTTTCCTCTCCTGTGTTGAGCAGCACTTGGTTTAAAGCTGATTTTCTTCAACACATTCTCAGCTCGTGTTTTATTGCTAAACACACACATACCGGTGCAGTTCCAAACTCTCACGTCAGTTCCTTTATCAAGGAGTCAAATTTCTTCAAAACTCCCAAAGACAAATAGATTAGAACGCTGCCTTTTGTAGCGCTTCAAACATGCAGGGAAGCTCCTTCAATGTCACCTCATACATATTAGGAAGGGGGTGTTGGAACAAAGAACTCAGACCTTACATCTTTGTTGACTGGTGGATGTATCCATAAGTGAGAAAAGAACAGTTCTGTTTGGGACACACCATGTTCCTCAGTTCCTGTATTACAGTGGAAAGCCAACATCACCCTGATAACTCTAATTCAGTTCCGAACGATGGAAACTGATATTCTAGGTGACAGCCATAGCGATAAGATAGATTATTTAATAACTGACTTTGTCTCCATTTAAACCACCATCATAGAGTCTTCCTGCACAGACAACTATATGGAATGGGTGAGAAAGATGGAAGCATTTTCTCCCTCTGAAACCCTGGCCAGCCCACATTCACTCCACAGTTGATTTCGTTGACGAGGAAGCCCAGCTCAGTTAGCACAGCCCACACAAGACCTCGGCTCTTTTACTTAAAGTTAGCAAGATTTTCTCTTGTGCTTTCTTTACTTTGATAAAATATTTTCTAATCCATCACCAACAACTTAGATCACTCTATTTCCTCCTCCTCCCCACTGCCAGGAAACTCTCCTGAGCCATCAAAGTGAAGCCACCAGGACTTCATGCTCCCCACAAACATGCCTGGGAGTTTGGGAGCACAGCCCACAGCTTTGACAAATCCCTCTGATACAGAAAGAGGGCTTGTTCTAAACTTGGAAACTTTTCTTATCTGATAATCTTTTAAATCAGTTTTGTGTGGGATTGAAAAGCCATGCACACGGATAGCTAACGGAAGGCTTATCTGAATGTCTAAGCGTTCACACCTGTGATCCTAATGTGTGCATTACAAACATTCTACTGTTAATGGAAGAAAGAGGATCCTGGGATCGGTGGTCATCTTCCAAGACCTACGGGGGAGTGATTTACTCTGGATGTTTTCTAGTTAGAGGTTTAAAAGCAAACTCCTTGTCGTTATCAGTCTGTGGGCTTGAGTGCCGACAGGAACTTCAGAAGGGACTTCCTCCAATCTCTTATGAAATGAGGGACAGGAGCCCTCCCTCAGCTCTGTCTGTACCGCCATACGCCTGTCTCTGCTCGTGAAAGCACACACGCACATCTTAGGGGGTGTTCGTCTTTGCTGTAGTTTTACACAGTCTGATTTCAGACATTTGCTTGCTCACGTTCCTTGAGGAAGAGGAAGTAGAATGTTGTGTAATCGGATGGAATCTCAGGAATTAATGCTGATATTTGGTAAGCTGCTTCCTCTTCTTTGTGTGCCTAATTCATGCTTGTCTGGACAAATGTCAAAACTGCAGCTCTCATCAGAAATGCATGTGTACGTGTTCATTAGTATGCACACCTATGTGTTTGTAGCTACCAAAGGTCAATGCCAAGTTCTTTCTCTGTTTCTCTCTGTCTTGTATTTGATGTAGGCTCTCTCACTGACCTCAGAGATTACTGCTTGGATAGACTAGCAGGCCACTAGGTTACAGGGGTCCTCCTTTCTCTGCCTCCCTGACCACTACCAGAGTTAGGGTTATAGGTGTGTTTTACCACACTCAGCATTTCAGCTGGATGCTGGGGATTTGAACTCAGGTCCTCATGCTTGCACACTGAGCACCATACTGACCGAGCCATCCCCTCAGCCTTCCTCACCAGAAATTTTGAACTCAAAACAAAAACTTCTGGGTTCTCAGTCAACTTTCAGGTGTACTTCTCTTAGAGATTTATTTTTGAATGAGGAACATTCTTAATGTAGATACTTCACTACTGCCTTGTCTCTGAAGAGGTGAATGGATAGGCATGCTCAGATAGGTTTCTCTGTTTGGCTCAGAAAGTCCCACTTTCTCTTTTCCTTTGGTCTGAAGTTCCTGTGGGAGATTTAGGTTTGAATGGAGAGGGAGCTGCTCAGACCACTGAAGCTTCTGTTGAGATATAGACACTTAAGCCAAAACAAAATTAGACACAGTCTATAAGGCCACCTGGCTCCGAACTGAGGCCTGTTGCACTTGCTACAGAGATCCCAGGAGCAGCCTCCAGAGTGTTAGTCCTCAGCCAAGTGTGACACATGACTGTGTGTTCCTCACGGTACTCTCGGGATGCCTTCCAGCAGCTTCTTGAAGCCTGTTCCAAGCCTAACACTTGAGGGGGGAGTATCTAATCACTTCAGATAAGCTGGTCCCGCTCTGACCTGGGCCTGTGGAGTTCTGGCAGCACATTGCTCCCAGGAGGGGACCAGAGAGGCAGGCCACTTCTATGAGTTAGAAATCCGCTCTCATTGGCTACTGTGCTCCAGAGGAAAGAACTTTCTAGCATACCCCCTGTGCCTAAGGTTTGGAGCTGAGAAGCTAATTCGTGATTGAATCCTATCATTTGCCTACAACCCCAAAGTCCCAAGTCTGGTCTTGGAGAATTACGTCTGGAACATGATTCGTGCAGATCCATATCCTGAGCCTGTCTTCAATGCACCCTGGCACAGCACTGTTAGCAGTGGGAACTGTTAGGAACATGGATGCCAACGATGGTCGGATGAGGCCCCTCCCTGTGTGCTACTTCTGATGTTAAATGTCTGCATGCTGCCTGGTTTGGGGTTTGTGTGGTTTTTTTTATTTTGTTTTTGATATATTTTTGTTTTTTGTTTTTTGTTTGTTTGTTTGTTTGTTTGTTTTCAAGCAATCTGTCCAGTACTTCTTCCATACTGTGAAGGAAAGCAGGGGCAGATGCCAAGCCACGATGCAAGTCTCTGCACTGAAAGAACGTCTGTCGTGAGTTTGTTTTGAAGCCAGAAACAGGCTGCCTCAAACTGCAGGCGCTGACTGGAGGCCTGGAGGATGTGCAGCTGAAGTCTGGTGGTCAGTTTCTGCCACTGTGGTAACGAACCCATCTTGTCCCACCAACGAGGAAAGCTGTTATTTAGAAGGAAGGGGCCCGTTTTAGGATTCTGTGTTAGCTGATATATATGATAGAAACTTTTATGTTGCAGGAGCGAGAGCAGTTTGCTTAACATCAGGTTCGCCTACTCCCTTTACAACAGAGACTTTAAAAGAGCTGCTCCCCATTAATGCTGTGACTCGAACCCAGGGCCTGGACCATGTAGACAAGCACTCTACTTTGACAGCTTTTAGTGAAATAAGTTAGCCTGCTGCCCAGCGATCTGGCCCCTCCCGCGTGGTTGTGACCTACCCCGCGAGTTGTGGGGTCTGTCGGACCCTCTCCACCTTTCCCCAGCTTCCCAATCATGCTCTGCCTGTCTTCCACCCGCATGAGTTACAAGGCAAGGGGTGTCCATGGCAGCTGCTGGGTGCACAGCCAAGTGTGGGGCCTTCACTCTGCCCTCATGGCGGCGGGAAATAGTGTGGAGGGAAAGAAGAGGAAAAAGCATAAGGGTCGCGGAGAAAATAGTCAGACGGTGTGAAAACAGTCAGACGGTGTGAAAACAGTCAGACGGTGTGAAAACAGTCAGACGGTGTGAAAACAGTCAGACGGTGTGAAAACAGTCAGACGGTGTGCTGCAAAGTCCCATGGAGGACAGTCAAAAGTGAGCAGAAGAGGGAGAGTGGAGATCAAGGGTGGGGTTGTGGGAAATGGAGGCATATTTGAGAAGCGTGAGTCATTCAGCATTGAGAGAGAAGTCTAGGGAGGCAAGCGAAGCCACGCTGGGGGAGTCTGTCCTTGGCTGAGAAAAGGCTAGAGGCTCGGGGGCCATCGAGATACGGCAGATGCAGGGGGTGTGGCTGCCTAGGTGAGGACGCGGTGCTCAGCTGTGGCTGTGCATTAGAACCACCCAAGAAATTCGAAATGAAACAAAACTGGACAGTTCCCACACAAGAGCAATACTGTCTGTTGTCAGTTTTATATCAGAGCTATACTATGGGTCTAATAGGAATAAAGATCCACACTGTAGCTACCGGAAGCCGGGAGGACAGTGGGGAGAAAGGATTGAGAGGTCCGGAGATGGAGGTGGGTAGGAGAGGTGACTCCTAACACTCGATGGCACAGCTGAGTAGTGGGCTATCAGTCATTTCCTTTTGTGTCACCACCTGTACCAGTCAGATGGGAGCACGTGGCAGTGTTGGGAGCACGTGGCAGTTATGGGAGCACGTGGCAATCTTGGGAGCACGTGGCAGAGATGGGAGCACGTGGCAGTGTTGGGAGCATGTGGCAAAGATGATGGGAGCACGTGGCAGTGTTGGGAGCACGTGGCAGTGTTGGGAGCACGTGGCAGAGATGATGGGAGCACGTGGCAGTGTTGGGAGCACGTGGCAGGGATGGGAGCACGTGGCAATGTTGGGAGCACGTGGCAGAGATGATGGGAGCACGTGGCAGTGTTGGGAGCACGTGGCAGTGTTGGGAGCATGTGGCAGAGATGATGGGAGCACGTGGCAGTGTTGGGAGCACGTGGCAGAGATAGGAGCACGTGGCAGTGATGGGAGCATGTAGAGGTGAAGGAAATACATGGCAGATGCCACTCGCCTCAAGGTAGGCAAGATGAGAGAGTGAGGAAGGAGCTGGAGACCAGGTGTAACTTTAAAAGCATGTCTCTAGGGACCTACATTCTCCAGCTTGACCCCACTTCCTAAATTCCCACCACCAGCTGGGGACCAGCTGTTCCACACGTGAGCCTTTTGGGGAGGAGGTTCCTATTCAACCCACACCAACACCAAGAAATGATTCACATTCCAGGTTATAGATGAACTGGCCAGCCTCATCCCTCACACTGTGTGGTCTGAACTAAACACACTCCATCCAGTGAGTATGCACAGGTACAACTGTGTGTGTGTCCGCTTGGTTCTTTTTATTTGTTTGTTTTTGTTTACTTGATTTTTTTCATTTTTTTGAGATGGAGTTTCTCTGTGGTTTTGGAGCTTGTCTTGGAACTAGCTCTTGTAGACCAGTCTGGCCTCAAACTCACAGAGATCCGCCTGCCTCTGCCTCCCCAGTGCTGGGATTAAAGGTGTGTACCACCACTGCCCGACTGTCAGCTTGGATCTTAAGGATTCTAGTCCTCCATGATCAGGACTCCAAAATGAAGCCGGGGTTGAGCACTGTAGGCTTAGGAAAGATTTAGATTCAGAGGGCGGGGCCTGCTGGAGAGTGTAGAAAGGACACTAGTGTTCTGGACCTTAGACCATTTTTGTGATAGCAAAGAGTCTATGGTCCTGCAGCTGCAGACTGCATTCTCACTGCTCCTGGAAGGACAAAACAAAAAACCTTTGACCTCTTTCATTGGGCATGTCTTGGGATGCTGGCCTCAGCCAAGAGAGGGCTGCTTCAGTCACCTGCGGTTCCAATACTTCAAGGACAAATGGGGACTCTAAAATAGCATGCTACCCCTCTGGAGGGCTACAGGACAGCCTCTCAAAGGATGTGCATAGACCTTACCAGAAGCAATTTCCAGATCCTTGGAGTGCACGCTCAGCATGTCCCTCCTCTCCAGTGGTACTTCTTTCCCTGTTTTTCTTCTCACCAGAAGTAGGACTTCCCCGTAACCACCACGCCATAGACACTGTGCCAGAACCACCAGAAAGGCGGTGAGATGGCACAGGCTCTGAGAGCCACATGAGCAGCAGACACAGTGTGCGCCTGGTTGGGTCTAGGCAGTCCCTAGCAAACCTAGACACTTGTCTTTCTCCCCAGAATTCGACTCTTTAGGGGAGATGTTATCTGTCAGAAAGGCAGGTAGTGACATGCTCATTTGAATTAAATTGAAGCCATTCTGCTCAGGGTGACAGCAAGGGGTGGTGTCACAGTGAGACCCCTCGGTAGTGGCCTACACGTATCCAGCTGTGTGATCCAGTCCTTATGCTAAGCCCTGCACGTGTAATGCATCCACTCCTCCCAACAGCCTGTTCCATTATTCATTCTTTTATTATTTCCAATTACAGAGAATATTTATGTACACAAGATTAATAACTTGCCCAAGACAGAGAATAGATGGAGTAGAAATAGGGCAGAGATTTTTTTCATGAATAATATGAACTAAACTTACACTTCTAATATTTTGACAAAAAGTAAAGTTTGTACATATTCAGTATAGTGTTCTAACATTTTAGGCAATTGTTTAAATATATAATACACATCTTTATATATAAGCTTTTTCAATGTGCAGGAAGGTCAGTTCTTTGAGGAGGTTCATAAGCAATGTATTTGAAGGTCTCTGGCTTTGAGCCAAACAGCCCCAGCTAAGACTCTTGGCTCAGTCCCTGAGCAGTGCTGGCCAAGCCCCACCCTCCCTGAGGCTCAGCCCTCGTGTGTAGAAATGAAGACAAGTGTCTCTTTTCAGCAAGGTTGTTGGAAAGATCAGATGAGCTATCCCAAGAAGAGGCCTGGCTTGCAGCCCACTCTGCTGAATAGTAAGAATCATTAGCACAGTTGGCATCTTGGAAACCTTCCTGGCATGGGAGGTGGGGGTCCACTTAAGTGAGCTCCGTGCCCACCCCCATTTGCTAAGCGCAATGGTTCCCACATTTGTTCCCATGCAAATCTCATGCGTAGTGGGAACGTGATGCAACTGGGCTCCATGTCTCCCATTGCCTTCCCTTTCCACACTTCCTCAAAGAAAATCTCCAGACATGGCTTCTCCAAGAAGCCTCCCGGGGAGACGCAGGACCACAGTGGCCTTCCGTGCCCATTGTACCGGGTTCTTCATCAATAGTGATGGGCTGATGATGAATTCTGGGCATGGGGTAATAAATGAGGCAGGCGCTTCTCTCACCCTCACCAAACTGGTGATCTAGTAAGGAGAATGGGAATGTCACCGGTTGGCATGGCGACAGCAGCAGACCAACAGGGGCCAGGGGAAGAAGCCCAGAGACAGGTACCCACCAGGCTAAGGTCACCAGCAAGAGTGTCCTAGAGAAAGAGTTGTCTAAACTAAAGTGTGGGCTGGGTTCTGAGAGCTGAGATTTCCCTGATGCAGCTGTGGAGATGAATGTTTCCTGGCCTTGAACTTGATGTCACCCATTTCCTTGCCTCCTGGACAACGGCATATACCTGGCAAACGTAATCTCCGCCAAGTCTTGTGTTTCCCCGTCTAGTTGCTCAGTTATGCACCACCACAGCAAGCAGGTAGTAGGCGTTAATAATAGGAAGAGGCCTTTCGGAGACCCTCGAGCTGTGTCTTCTCTGGGCCTGGCCAGTGCTGCATGAAACCCAGGCTAGCCAGACAGGGGCTACCAGAATCCCACCTGCTGGCTCCGAAGGCATGAATCCCTAGAAGGCAATATTCTGATGTTCACAAGTGGCTCCAAAATCACGATTTACCTGGGCACACTTGGCCTGCAGAAGGAGTGTATGTCCTTGGATCCCCAGGCTGGGGCTCTGGGCCAGTGAGTGGCAATGACAAGACTTGCCTCAGCCTGCATCTGCTGCCCCAGACCAGAGAAGAGCAGAGTCATCGGTGGGGATGAGAGGGCAGGGTGGCCCGTTCACACTCGCTCTTTCTTAGCAAGTCAGATCCAGTCACTCAACTGACGCCCTCAGCTTTTCTTGCTGCCCCAAAGTGACCCTTGACCTTTGCCAAAGCCCCGCCCCCGGCCCAGCTCACACATTTCACGGTATTCTGTTCAAGCCCACAGAGTTCACAGACTCGGGGAAACAAGCGCTATTCACCAACAAAGCAAAGCCAACTGGGATTGGGGATTCCTTTTAAGACCCAAAATGAAGACCTTCTGTGTTGTTTCAGAATCTTCTATTTGTGGGATGTTCCTGGAAAGCCACAAACCAGAACTTCTTGTGTTCCTCAGAGAATGAACCCGATTCCCACACTGACAAACCATCCGAATCTCATGGTTGGCTCCAGGGAGTTGGTGGTATCTTGCTGGCAGCCTAACTCCCCATCCTCAGCTGAAGAAGGCCACACTTAAGGCAAATCAATCTGCGAGTTTTCCAGCTTCCCACCTTCAGTGCTGACGCTCCCTGTGGTCACGATGAAAGAAGTTGCTCAATGAGGGAGGCTTCAGAGGAGACTGAAATCCAGGGGGGAACGGAAGCTCAGTGTGGGAAGCCAGGCCCAGAGAATTGACCTCAAAACTTTGACCCACTTGTGAAGTGTTTGGTTCATAGACCAGCGTGCTCAAGGCTTACCTTGCCCCGGAGATGGAGACCAGCCACTTAACCCAAGCCAGATCCAATCGCTTCCAGGGGACCTCTTTCATGAAAGCAGGCCTGTCCTAACTGAACTCTTTTATGTGCCTGTTTGTGGCCCCAGTCACTTGATCCTGTCCCGTGCATGTGGTTGGCTTTTGTAAGCATCCACAATCAGAATGCTTCCTCCCTCCTGGACCACAGAACACACAAGCGTTTCATCTACAGCGAGAACAGGCTCCTGATCTAATGGTTTCCAGGGTTCCATTTCCACAGTGATAAAAGGTTTCCACCCCAAATCCAGCCCCTGCTGTGACCCTGGCTTAGGACCACTTAGAAACATGCTGTGCTCCACATCCTTCTTCTGGAGGGGACATCTGGCCAGTGTGGACATTGTGGCTTGCTGTCATCTTCTCTAAGGCCCATGCCAGGTAAACATCCAACATGGGCCAATGCCTCCAGCCAAGTGAGGCCGCTGAAATCAAAACACGCAGACCCTGCTGCTGGGATCAGTAGCCACTTTCTGTTAGCTGGGGAAGGAGTGCCGTTTGTTATTGTCTTGGAGTTGACACCATGCCAATCCGCACATCTGGAATCGGTTAGGAAGAAAGAAGCGCATGAAAGCCAGGGTCTCATGACCCTGCCGTCTTCCTCTCCGCTGGTTAGAAGAAGCGGTAAGTGGGCCTCCAGCGTAAGTACGGGGACTAAAGGGAAAAAGAACTCACAATGGCACAGTGGGTTGTTTCAGAGGGGCTTCGGTGGGCTCCGTGTCTAAACAAACACTTGTTTGAAGCTGCACGCCATGCTGTTCTTTACTCACACGCCAAGCCTTTATGAGCCCAGCCTTGAGGTCCAGGTCCTTCCCGAACTTGGCCGACTCTGCCGCATAGTCCCAACGGCTTGGTAGAATTGGCACTTACTGGGTTTGGTCACACAGAGAGAGTCAGGCCACAAAGACACACACTTGCTCCCTTCCTTGCCTCCTTGAAACTGCAAGCAGTGTTCAGCAGGAGCCTGGACAGTACCAACATGGGATGCTGATTAGTGGTCCTGCAGATGACATCAGGATCCGACATCAGGATCCACAAATCCTCGGGGGCTACTTTAGGGCTTCTTGTTTTTGGAGAAGTGGTCCAAAGAAAAATCAGGTCTAATTTTGAGAAGACTGAATGAATCAGGCCTAAGGATACTGAGTATATGCTATACCGCGGAGAAGAGGTAAAGGAGGGCTTAATGTAAAAAGTCAGGGTTGTGGTTTTTTCTTTTTCTTTTTTCTTTTTTTGGTCAGTCAGACTCGGTACATATAAATGCGACTTCTCTGGACTCTCCTGAGTCTCCTGAATTATCAAGTACTAACAAGAACCAGAAAGCCAGCCCAGCAGTCTTGGCTCCAGTTTCTGCCTGAGGAGCTGCCGTCTACCTCACTGACACGGCTTCCTTTCGCCCAGATGATGAATCACCTCTTCTGGGAAGACTGTGGGACCCCTGCCCCCTCCCAGCTCCCCTCCCTGCCCACACCAGCTGTATGGGGTGGCGTGTGGTTGGTACTTCCCTTAGGAGTTACTTTTGCGTAGAGTCTTGTATTAGGCGCTGATTTCACCGTGTGCATGTCTGGCTCTCTATGGGGCCGAGCGCCACCCCCCCCCCCCAGGCATGACTCACTCCTGTCTGGAAGCAGCCCACTACAAGCTAGCTCAGGCAGATGCAAAGACCCCATCAAGACCCACTTTCTGGAGTGTGCTGGCTTCTGAAAACTGTCAGGACGTTTTTTCAAAGGGCTGACTAATAGGATCAGCTCGGCCACTAATGTGGCTGCTGAGTTAGAAATGAGGTAACTCTTTGGTTGTCTGAAGACTTTGATGTCCTAAATGTTAGACAATGCCATTAGTTTAACCAGTTCTCATATATGCAACTTGTATTTGATCAGTATTGAAACAAAGTATTCAAAGTTTTTTCTTTCCGTGTGCCTGGCATAGTGTGGCTGCATGTCCATGGGCTGTGTGAGCCACCCCCTCTACCTGGGACCTTTAATTCTTAGTTCATGTGATTCTCTGGTGTTTTGAAGAAAGGGTGTCTGCTTCACAGGTGTGAGTTCTTGTCCAGAGGGAGCGGCACTGGGAAAAAGAGTTCTGCCCTGCCCGAGTCAGACAGAGCTTAGAGCTTTAGGTGGAGAAGGCTAAAGAGGGGTCTAGACAGTCTAAGCCGATGATAGAGGCTGGCTGTCACCTGCCAATGTGGACCTAGGGAACCCGAGAGCTGACGAGATTGCCCAGTGGGTAAAGACACTCACTGCCAAGCCTGAGGCCGGAGTCCCATCTCTCATCTGTCCTTGGGACCAATTTGGTAGAAAGAGAGAAACGACTCCAACTCGGACATGTATCCTGTATCAGGCGTGCACACACAGAAAGTAAATAAATAAATGTATTTTAAAAAAAAACCCTAAAAGCATCCCTTGTAAGCTGAGAGAGTAAATTATTGTCTGGGGTCTAGATAACCCCTGGTGTGAGGACTGCGGGACATCCCCTCCAAGAGGCCCCAGGATACAGAGAGTGAAATATTAGTCCTAAGTTACCTAGGGATCCATGCAGATGCCAGGGATGTAGTACAAACCTAAAGATGTAGTCCTTCTTCACCTTGCAAGGTGAGTAGCTGCTTCCTTGTTGCACTTCTAGGGATGGAACCCAGGGCTAGGCAATCCCTCCATCATGGGCTGCATCTCTAACCTGCTCAGTCACATGTTTATTTTTTTGTCAAAATTCTAGATGCTTCTTTAGAGTTAGCACCTGCAGCAGGGTTGTCAAGAGGGAGTAGAAAGTCACAGCTCGGGGACCAGCAGTGTAGCTGGCCAATTGGAATCCTCCTGTGGAGCCTGGGAAGCTCCAGTCCTCAGAGACTCACCAAACTGTTGATAAGAAGTGTTCTTGTAGCCAGGCGGTGGTGGCTCACACGCTTAATCCCCCATTCAGGAGCCAGGGCAGGCAGATCTCTGTGAGTTCAAGGCCAGCATGGGCTACGGAGAGAGAATTCCAGGACGGGCTCCAAAGCTAGTCTCAAAACAAAACAAAAAGTGTGTTCTTGTATGCTGGGAGGTGAGGCCTGTTGTTTACTTGATAGGGCATCTCACTGTGTAGCCCAGGCTGGCCTGGAACTTGCTGTGCGAGTGGTCTGCCTCGGTAAGTGACACTAATTCAAACAACCTTGACTCTGAGGTGAACTGGACGTTTGGCCCAGTAGCTCTGGGCTTTTTTCACTCTGGTGGAAAAGAACACTTGGCTACCACTCTCCTCACCAAAGCTGCTGCTTTCACCAGACTGACTTGGGGAAGCTGGGAGGGTTTGCTCAGTGGACCTCTATGCAAAGAAATTGATAGGGTTTCAAAAGCTACATGGCTGCCCTACATGGTGAGGAGCACATCTTCAAACTCCTCCAGGGATAGACCTGATTGGGGCATTGAGGAAATGAAGAAAAGGTAGACACATAAAAAAGCTCGGATTGGGTGAGCGGGACTCTCTGGTGAAGAAGCTGCAGTGTCTTGGAATCACAGTTTGTTTATTACACACAGTTGAACAGGTAGGTGGGGTTATCACACACAGCTGTGTTGAAATATGGAGCGGCGGGGCTGTGTCCCCAACACCCCGGCCACTTGGCTAGCTCATGCCCGAAATAACAACACACAAACTGTATTCATTTAAAGAACTGCTTGGCCCATGAACTCTAGCCCTTACAGGCTAATTCTCACACCTGGACTAGCCCATTTCTAGTAATGTGTGTAAGCACCCCAAGGTGCGCTTACCGGGAAGATTCTAGCCTACATCCATCTTCATCGCGTGTGCCTCAGAGAGCAGAGCTATCGCGTCTACCCGGGAGAGCTGAGCATGGCGTCTGTGCTCCAGCAGAGCTGTCGGGTCTCTCTGGAAGCAGAGCAGAGTCTGACCTCACTTCCTCTTCCGCCCAGAATTCTATTCTGTTTACTCCTCCCATCTATGTTCCAAGCCATGAGGCCAAGCAGCTGGTTTATTATAACTTAACCAATGAAATCAACAGATTGATATATGACACTCCCACATCACAGCTGAACTTGGAGGCAGGATTAGCTAATGTCTGTAGGAGCCATCTCTGTAGGGAAGCGGACTTTAAGCATTAAAGCTGGGGAGAGAAGGTTAATGATGGGTATTTTCTGCACACACTGTCAACGTTCACATTTGAATCCCCAGGAAGGCTTTCTATCTCTCTGAGCCTCGAGGGGAGGGAGGAGTTTTGCCATTTTCCCATGATTCTGATGCTACGGTCCTTGACATGGGCACCTGTCATATATCCGTGCAGGATTTCACACCAGAGCACAACACACATCCACTCAGGATTTCACACACTCAAGTATTCCTCCACTCCCTACAGGGCACAGCTTGCATGGTGGTTTGGGGTAGAGCAGGCTGGGGCAGGGGGGTTGCTTTCTTCATATGTTGACTTTGCTTTGCTGACTTTGTGGCCGCTCTGGTGGGTTCCTTTGATTCTCTCAGCCTTGGCTTCTTTGTGTGTGGAGTAGAGAAAATCTCCGCGCGCGCCATGGCGCTGTCATGTCGTGGGCACGGAGCCTGGGCGCCGTTTGCTGTTCCACGTCAAACTTGACAGACAACTTGTGCACATGCGCGCGAGCTCCCCCCAGCACGGGGAGTCTTTCGATCTGGCCAATCATAATTTAGCACGATCACTCCATTCTGGCCTGAGCCATTGGGTTGA